TTTTTACATTAAAAAAAAACAAAATTTTTACACCCCCCCCCAAAAGGGGTAAGTTACAAAAAATAAATAAAAAAAATTTTATTTATTTATTTATTTATTTTTTTTTTCGAAAAATTAATGGGATTTTTTATTTTAATTAATTAATATATATGTGTATAAGTATGATTTTTTCAATTTGATTTCTGATTGGTTAATTTTTTAATGACGTCATTTCTTTAATTCGCGCTCAAAAATAATTGTGCGCGCGCAATTTTTTTTCGAATATTTATTTTTAGTTTAAATTATTTTATTTTATTTTATTATTTCGTTTAAAAATGTCAAAAAAAAAAATATTTTTTGTGCTTTTGTGACGATGATGATGATGATGACGATGACGATGATGACGTTGATGACGATGACGATGACGATGACGATAATGATGATGATGATGATGATGATGATGATGGTACCCTTTGAAAATTATATTTTTATAAATTTTCTTTAAAGTGCATTTCAATTAAAATTCGGATCCGGTCACTTTTTTAAAAAAAATTACCTTTTGATGTTTTCCTTTTACCCCTTCCCCTTCTCCTTCTCCCCCCTTTCTTTTTCTCGGCAAAAAAATTTCTTAAAGGTGAAAGGTTAAAGTCGACTGTTTCCCAAATGTAAAAATTTTAAAAACGGTTTCACTTCGCATTATTTTTAGTTTTCCTTTTTTTTTTTTTTTTTTTGGTCATACCCTCGGGTAAAACGTGGGAGGAGGAGGAGGAGGAGAAGAAAAGGAAGAGGGGGGAGAAAAAGAATGCGGAAAATAGAACGAAAATATAAAATGTAAAATAATGAAGTCGACAGAAAAAAATTTTTTTTTTTTTGTTTGCTGTTCTTGTTGGTGCCCGTATTGTCATTGCGTGAAATTTTTGAAAAATTTATTCTCTTTTCTCTCTCTCTCCCTTTCTGCCTCCATCTCTCTCTTTTTTTATTCTCTCCACTTTTGAATTTTCTACTCTTTTTTTTTTTTTCATTCCACGAAAAAGCCCTTTTATTTTTTTTATTTTATTTTTTTGTTAAAAAATTGTTTGAATCTTGCCGACGTTAATTTAAAAAATCGCCGTTGGGATTTTGTTTCATGTTTCACCTGAAATTGAATTTAAAAAAAAAAGAAAAAAAATTTTTTTCATTTTTTTTTAATTTTTTTTTCAACCTATGAAATATGAATAGTTATTATTTATTTTCGAAAATAAAAGAAAAAAAAAATATTTGAAAATTATAAATATACGTTTGGGAATTAATATTTTATATTAAAACGAGAGAAAAAAGACAAAATAAAAATCTGAACATAAACAAACGTTTATGTTCAGATTAGAAAAAAAAATGGCGAAGGTTACGTAAAAAAAAAAAAAAAAAAAATTAATTTTAAACGTAATAATAGTTTGCTAAATATTTATAAATTTACACATTTTTTTTCTTTTTAAATCGCTTATTCATTCAAATTTTCTCTCTCTCTCTCTCTCTCTCTTAAAAGAAAAAGAAAAAAAACGACGCTAATTAACTACAAAAACTCATAATTAATACGAATTAAATGAGGTTCGTCCGCCATTTTGTAAAAATTCAAATTTTCTTTTTTCTTAAAAATAAATTAACATGACAATTCTCATAATAAATTTACGAGAATTTTTTTTAATTATTGTTTACAAAACAAAAACAAAAAAAAAAAGCGCGCGAAAAAAAAGTAGCAGTCGTTGGTATTATTACTCTATGACTTTAAAATTTTATCCTCGAATATTTTTGTTTTTATTAAAAATTATTTTATTCGATTGATTGAACGATTAAAACGAATCGTTTTTTTTTTTTTTTTGATGGGGGGGCGGTAGGATACGGGGAGGGGAGGGACGATAGAAGAAAGTGGGACGGTAAAAAGAAGCAGAAGAAAAAAAAAAAATTTTTTTTTTTTCTTCTGCTTTTTTAAAGTTGAGTTTGAACGAGTTGAACGATTCAAAGTGAAAAAAAATTGTGGTTAAGTTGATTTTAAAAGTGGTTTAATAATAAATTTAAAGTTTAAGTTTTTCTTTTTTTTTTTTTTTTTGTTTAATGAAAAAGAAAATTTAGAAAAAAAGGAAAAGAGGAGAATGATTCTGGAGAGTGATAATAATAATAATAATAAGAGTCTTTCTTAGTTTTTTTTTTTTTTAAACTGGAGGTGACAGTAAAAGAATATCTTCAACAGAGTATCATTAAGTATCTTACATTGTATTTTTTTTTTTTTAAGTAAAAAATACGTGGCAGAAGACTAAAAAGTTTTGCCCCGGTTGGCACGAATGGTGAATTTATTAATTATTATTTGGCAAGACGAAACCGGATGCGGATATTGTTTGATTTATTTATTATTTTTTTTACTGGATTCATTTTTTGGATTTTTGTCTCTCTCTCTCTCTCTCTCTCTCTCTCTCTCTCTCTCTCGGAGAGGAGGGGAATGATAGATACTTGGAAAGAAAACGTTTTTTGTCTCGGAGAGGAATAAAAATATATTTTGAGGTGATAAAATTTGAAAACTATTCGAAATTCGTTACAAATATGGCGACGCGACACGTTTCAAACGCATAATAAAAAAAAAACAATTAATAGAATAGTAATTTTTCTTTTTTTCTTTTATATTTCGAACGCGATGAAAAATAATAATAATAATAATACCTGGTGGAAAAAAAGGAAAAATAAAAAGAAAAAAAAATTGTAATTCTTCTTTGATAATAATAATAATGCTCACAATGGAAAAAAGAGAAAGAAAAAAAAATTGTCACCGTTGGGGAATGGGGTGGGAAAAGCGCTTTTTCTTGTTTAATTTTTCTCATCTTTTTTTTTTTTTTTTTTTTTTTTGAAGACAATATAGAAATTAATCAAAGAACACTTTACAGTTTTTTAATTAACGTTAAAAAAAAAAAAAGGAAAGATAGAAAGAAAAAAAGAAAAATGAATAAGTTGACAATTTAATATTTATCTGTTAAAAAAGGCAATATTTTAACGAAAAATAGTTTTAAAAATGTCTTTTTTTTTCTGGGGAAGGGGGAGAAGGGGGAGGAATATGAGGTTTTCGGTTATGATTATTTAGTACGTGATAAACTGTTAAGAAAGTAACAACAACAAACAAATAAACAAACGATGAGATTAAGTTACAATTTAAGGGAGTAGGAAAGTTAAATTTAATGTTTATATATATATATATCATATGAGATTTTTTTTTTTTATTTTGTAAGAGAAGATTTGTTGTAAACATACCGAAAAAAAAAAAAAATTTTTTTTTCTTTATTTTTTATAAAGAAAAAGGAAAAAAGTTAAGAAATTAATATATATTAAACAAGTTTATTCGAGCTAAAAAATGAAAATGAAAAAACATTAATAAAACTAATGTTAATTTTATAACGGAAACAAACTTTTTTTTTAATAGGATTTAGATCGTTTTTTGTTTGTTTTTTAGAAAAAAAAACTTTTTCTTCTTGTTTTTTGTTTTATTAAAATTTTTTGTGACTTTTTATTATTATTATTTTTTAACAAAATAAAACTCTAAAGAAAACAGGGGAAGGATTAAAAAAAAAAAAAAAAAAAAAAACAAAAATAATAATTTAAGGGAAGATTTAAAACGAAACGTTTGAATTTTTATTTATTGGCGCCATTTTGTCAAGAGTTTACAACGTGACGTATGCCTGATGCCACTGCTGCTTACGTCATTGGCGCGCGTTTAGGTTTCTTTATTGTAAACAATCAAGATGGCTGCCGGATGAAGTCGTCAAACGTTTATTTCTAGTTTTTTTTTTTTTTTTTAAATAAGTTTTTTATTTTATTGTGAAAGTTTTTTTTTTTTTTTTTTTGATAGAATTTAGATCGTTTTTTTGTTTGTTTTTTTAGAAAAAAAAAAAAAAAACTTTTTCTTCTTGTTTTTTGTTTTATTAAAATTTTTTGTGACTTTTTGTTATTATTATTATTTTTTTTTTTAAACAAAATAAAACTCGAAAAAAAACAAGGGAACAATTAAAATGAAAAAAAAAAAAAAAAAAAAACAAAAATAATATTTTCGTGGAAAATGAAACGTTTGAAATTTTATTTATTGGCGCCATTTTGTCAAGTGTTTACAACGTGACGTATGCCTGATGCCACTGTTGCTTGCGTCATTGGCGCGCATTTAGGTTTTTTTATGTAAACAATCAAGATGGCTGCCGGATGCAGTCGTCAAACGTTTATTTCTAGTTTTTTATCGTTAAAGTTTTTTTTTTTTTTTTCGATAGTATTTTGTAAAAAGTTTTCTTTTTTTACGCGAGTAATATTTAATAATTAATTAAAATCGGATCATTAAATTTGGGTAAAATATTGAATAGTTAAAATGTGCATCGAGTTACGAAGAAGATTATATAAGAGGAAGTAATAATAAAATAATAATAATAATAATAATAATAATAATAATAATAATAATAATAATAATAATAATAATAATAATAATAATAATAATAATACTTGTTTTTTTAAATAGTTGTTTAAAATTAAAAAACTTTTTTTTTATTAATTTTTTTTTTCGATCCTTTTTTTTTTTTTTTTTTTTGTAAAAATTTTCTAAACTTTTACATCAGTCAAGTACCCCCGCAAGATAATTTTCATAGTTGAAGAATAATTCGTTTATTATTATTATTATTATTATTATTATTATTATTATTATTATTATTTTCTTTTAAGGATCATTAACTTCATTAAACGATTCGGATAGACTGTTTTTTTTTTTTTTCTCTAGATTCAATTTCATGCCGACACATTGTCTTCTACACATTTAATGTTTTTTTTTTTTTTTTTGTTCAACATCTCGCAGCGTCCCATTTAATGAACCTTTTTCTTTTGCCATTAGCACCATTTCGTTCCATTTCCTTTTCTTTCCCCTCCCACCTCCCCTCCCTTCCTCCCCACGTACAATATTGATTTTGTTTTTATTTCTTTTTTTTTTTATTCTTTCTCTGATATATTATTATTATTATCATTATTAATACATGATATATGTTTGTGATGACTCTGCAACTTTTTCACATAAGCTTCCTTTTTTCCTTTAAAAATTTTCTTTTAACTTGAACTTTTCATTTGTCGAATTCAATTTTTTCTTTTTTTTTTTTCTTTTGGAATGATAAATAAATTTTTCTTAATAATACCGTATATGTGTGACGCGGATACATGACGTCACATAATAGTGACGGTTAATTTAAAAAAATTTTAAATTAATTTTTTTTTTTACACTAATGCCACTTTTTTTTTTTTCAGACTTTTCGACATGGATTTCCATTTCAACCGACTGCCGTGGCTTTTGATCCGATACAACATCTTCTTGCCATCGGAACTAAATCTGGATCTCTTCGAATGTATCCTTTTTTTAATTTTATAAAAAGAAAAGAAAAGCGAAAAAATGCGGAAACGTGGCGGTAAGTTTTTCTTTCTTTTTTTTTTTTTTTGTCGTGCATATTCAAAACGAAAAGTGGATGAATTTAATTGGTGTATACAAAAAGATTTTTATCGACACGTCAAAAACTTTTCGATCATTTTTTTGTTTGTTTGTTTTTTGGGGAGAGGGGCGGGGGGATTATATAAGGAAAAAACAAAAAGAAATAATTAAACAGCAAAATAATAATAATAATAATAATAATAATAATAATAATAATAATAATAATAATAATAATAATAATAATGATTTAAGTATAAATTTCAAAAAAACGAAAAGAGTAGAAGCAAAGGTAAAAGTTCAAAGGTTTAAAAAAAAAAAGAAAAAAGTGTGTGTGAAAATGTCGCAAAAAAAAAGTAAAAATCGGTTTTCTCCTTCGTGGTTATAGATTGTGAAAAGGCGCGAGGGGAAGGGGGAAACGTGGTTATAGACTTTTGAAATTGAAATTTTCTGTGTGTGTGTGTGTGTAGGTTTTTCGTTTTTAAATCGTCGTCAATCTTTTTTTTCTCTTTTCTCAATTTTCATTTATTATTACACGCGGGGGGGGGGGGGAAGGAAGAAGGAAAATAAAATAAAAACAATAATAACAAAAAAAAAAAGTTTTAAATTGAAACTTCGTGTTCGAATTTTCTTTTTTTTTTTTTTTTTTACTTTTCCGATTTGAAAACTTTTTTTTTTTTTTTTTTTTTTTTTGAATAGATTTAAATTAAGAATTTTATTTTACTTTTATTTTAATTTATTTTTCGATTGATTTATATATAAATCTCGAAGAATACAAATTGAAATTTGTTCCAATAAAAAAAAAAAAAAAGAAAAATTTTTACTTTGATTCGAGAAAAACGGTTGGAAAAACGGTGGAAAAACGTTTTTTTTTTGTTTTTCGTTTAGAGAGAGAGATAGAGAAAAAAAGTGATGTGGGAAGGGGGGAAGGAGAGGAAATAGAAAACGAAAAATTCCGCTTTGTTAGTTTTTTATTATGCGGTCGTCCGCCCTTTTGAAAAATAAAACAATTTCGTACGTTTATCGTTTCGGTAAACCTAAAATAAATTATAATAAAAAAAAAAAAGGTTTGGGGGTACGTTTCGGGGCTTAAAAAAGGGGAATATTGTCGCCGGAAGCCGGGTAAATAGAATTTTTTTTTTTTTTTTTTACTTTTTATCGAACGCGAACGTTATTTATTATGTATTTTAAAATAGTGAAGCCATTTAGGTTTTTTTTTTTTTTTAATACTTTTAATTAATTATTACGCTCGATTTTATTTCGTTGGATTAAAATTTTTTTTTTTTTTTTTTTTACGGAAAAAAGGGAAGAAAGGAAATTTTCTTTTTTTTTTTTGTTATCGTGAAATAAAATGACATTTTTTTTTTTTTGTTTAAAACGTCCGGGTGGAAAAAAAATAAATTAATGAAATTTCGTTAAAATATTTCCCCCCCCCCCGTTCGTTAATTTTTCACAAAGCGCGATTCGCACAATTTTTCGTTTAAAACCACACAAAAATTGCGTCGGTGAGGGTTTTTTTAAATTTATTTCCTTTGTTTTTAA